TAGGGTTTAGGGTTTTAGGGTTTAGGGTTTAGGGATTAGGGATTCGGGTTTAGGCTTAGGGCTTAGGGTTGAGGGTTGAGGGTGCAACAAGTCAAAAGTTCCTAGTCTGCACTGACCAAATTCTCGAGACACTCCAGGCACTCCAGTTCCCCGAGGTGGATGTGGCTTGGGGTCTAGGGATTGGGGGTTAGGATTCAAGATTCAACTTAGGGTTTAGGGTTTAGGGTTTGGGGTTTAGGGTTTAGGGTTTAGGGTTTAGGGCTTAGGGTTTAGGGTTTAGGGTTTAGGGTTTAGGGTTTAGGGTTTAGGGTTTAGGGTTTAGGGTTTAGGGCTTAGGGTTTAGGGTAAACCCTACACCCTACACCCTCAACCCTAGGCCCTAAACCCTAAGCCTAACAGGTTACCTTGCTCTTAAAACATTCGGCTCCGAGGCACTCTGGAGTGATCGAAACCAAACCTGCAATGGTCCTGCAAGGCTTCCAGGGTTTAGGGTTGGGGGTTTAGGGTTTAGGCTTTAGGCTTTAGGGTTTAGCGCTTAGGGTTTAAGGTTTAGGGTGGGTTTAGGGTTTAGGGTTTAGGGTTTAGGGTTTAGGGTTTAGGGTTTAGGGTTTAGGGTTTTGGGGTTTAGGGTTTAGGGTTTAGGGTTTAGGGTTTAGGGTTTAGGGTTTAGGGTTTAGGGTTTAGGGTTTAGGGTTTAGGGTTTAGGGTTTAGGGTTTAGGGAAGCTTGGCCCGCTGCAGGCCGGTATGCAAAACGCAGGCTGGGAAGGGGGGGTGGGGGCGTTGCCACATGAAGCATCATTTTTGGGGGGCCTCCAGCCCTCAAATCTAAACCCTCAACCCCCAAACCCCCAAACCCCCAAACCCCCAAACCCCCAAACCCTAAAACCTAAACACTAAACCCTAAACCCCACCCGTCCTTCTCCTTTTGAAGCCGGCAAAAAAACAGAAAACCTACCCACCCGGGTATACGACAACAAAGGGGGCCAGAACATAGACTCACAAGGAACAGGGCTCCCTTACAATAAGCTAAACCCTAAACCCGAAACCTTTAAGCCCTAAACCCTACAACCCGAAACCTTAAACCCTAAACCGAAACCCTAAACCCTAAACCCTAAACCCTAAACCCTAAACGCCCCCAAGCCCCGATCCGCGGGTCCTCTGAGTCCTGGGATGCCTCCAAAAAAGCTCCATTTTGGCGGGGGTTGGGGGGGAGGGGATTCTTGGGGAGTTTTTGAGTGTTTGGCTGGGGTTTGTTTGAAGGTTTTCGGGTTTTTGTGGGGTGGGGGGGGGGGGGGGGGGTTGGGGTGTTTGAGGGTTTTGGGGGTTTTTGGGGGAGTTTGGGGGTTTAGGGGGTTTAGGGTGTTTAGGGTTTGGGGGTTTAAGGGTTTACAAACAGAGGTGTTGAGGGGTTGAAGGGTTTAAGGGTTTCGGGGTTTGGGGGCCGGGTAAGGGCAGTTAACTAGGTTTAGGGGTTGGGACTGACGGGCACTTTGGCTTAGGGCTTACAACGTTTCAGGCCAGAAGGGAATGAGGGAACTAGGGCCCTTTTTAATACATTCATGTGTATAAAAAAAATATACATATATATATATACATATATTATACTATATATAGAAATATATGTGTATATACCCCTTAAGGTATTATATAGGAGTACCTCCTTCCCTCATTCCCCACTAAGAACCAGCCAGTGCAGCTTAAGGATGGTTTGAAGTGGGGGGAAGCCTGGAACCCTGAGTCCTGAAACCCCAAACAACCAAAAACAGGCCCAAAAAAACCTTGAACCCCTACCCTCTGCTTCCCTAATTAAACCCTAAACCCTGAAACCCTAAACCCTAAACCCTTAGCCCTAAACCCTAAACCCTAAACCCTGAACCTAAAACCAACACCGTAAAGCCTATTCCTAGAACGTTGAGCCCGTGCAACCCCGGAGCACGCCCTGTGCCTGGCAAACAGGGAATCCCGACCTCGGAGATGTAGGGTGTGAGGTTTGGCTTTGCGATTTACTAGTAGACTTACTGCTAACACGACTTCTAACTCATAACCTTACTTATCACCCTACGTATAACCCTACTTACAAACCTACCCATAAACCTGCCCGTGGGCGGTTCGGGGGCATTCTTGGGGAGACTAGAGGCGGCCATTTTTGGAACCCTAAACCCTAAACCCCAAATCCTAAACCCTAAACCCTAAACCCTAAACCCCTAAACCCTAGGGGGGGCCTTTCGGGGAGTGGGCGGGGGTTTGGGGAAGCTCCCTGCGCGGAAGTAGGAGCCCAACTGCAGAAGCATTCCGGTTCTGTGACGTACCTCTGAGAGCCGCACTTGCAGCCAGGGATTCTTGTTTCGGTGCACCAGTCATCCTCAGGGTTTGGGGTGTAGGGTTTAGGGTTTTAGGGTTTAGGGTTTAGGGTTTAGGGTTTAGGGTTTAGGGTTTAGGGTTTAGGGTTGGTTTAGGGTTTAGGGTTTAGGGTTTAGGGTTTAGGGTTTAGGGTTTAGGGTTTAGGGTTTAGGGTTTAGGGTTTAGGGTTTAGGGTTTAGGGTTTAGGGTTTAGGGTTTAGGGTTTAGGGTTTAGGGTTTCGGGGTTAGGGTTTAGGGTTTAGGGTTTAGGGTTTAGGGTTTAGGGTTTAGGGTTTAGGGTTTAGGGTTTAGGGTTTAGGGTTTAGGGTTTAGGGTTTAGGGTTTAGGGTTTAGGGTTTAGGGTTTAGGGTTTAGGGTTTAGGGGCTCGTCTTGCAAAACCGATCTGGTCCCTGTCCCTCGACCATCCTCAACGAAACCCGTGGCACACTGGGCTCGCGGATTTGCAGTTGGCGACGCCTTGCTCTCCCTCCACGAAGGTTGCACCTAAACCCTAAACCCTAAACTCTAAACCCTAAACCCTAAAAAACCCTAAACCCGAAACCCTAAACCCTAAACCCTGACTGACTCCGAGGCGTTGGCCCCAAGATGGCCGACCTGCACAGCTCTCCGCAGGGTGTGGGGAGGTTTCTAAGGGTAGTTACAGGGTTTAGCGTTTAGGAGTAGTTTCATGATCCCTTAGTCTGGGCCCTGAGCAGGGTACCCCTTATATACCCCTTGTATACCCTACACGAATTAAGGGGCCCCTTACATCAGAAAAAGGGCGGTTCCATATGAAGGGCCCATGAAGCTACCCTGATAGCTCTGAGAGGAGATCCTGCCTAATAGCTTCTTGAAGTCAGTGCAGCAGCATCAACGAGAACCTGGGTAGGGATCAAACTCTGGAGCTTTGCCTCACTAGCAGCCACGAGAACGGGAAGACAATGCAAGAGTCGTTGCTGGGCGCCCGCGCGTATGGCAACAAGGGCACGCGGTTCGAGCTCTTCAACCATACTAGCCAGCAAAAACCCAGCTGGATGGATGCTGGAAGTGCATCAACTCCGTCTACGTGTGTGTCCAAATGCGCAGAAAGGATGCTGACAAAACATGGGCCAAGTCAGAGCAGATTCTAACCCACCAACTCCCCCCTGGGCCAGGCATCGGCGAATGCTCGTAGTCTAAGGGCTAACTGGGAATTGGGGGTTTACGAAAATAGGGGACCCCGAATATAGATCCCCAAAGAGTAGGATCAAGGATCCCAAAAAGGTACCCTAGTATCGTAAACCCCCAATTTGAGTTAGGGGTATGTGTGTGTGGGGGGGGCTTTGCCCTGATCCGACAGAAACCCCTTGTTCTCTATAGAATTCCTGGCTTCAAGTACAGGAATCTTGCGCAACTGCTCTGTTTAGGGTTTAGGGTTTAGGGTTTAGGGTTTAGGGTTTAGGGGTTAGGGTTTAGGGTTTAGGGCTTAGGGCTTAGGGCTTAGCGCTTAGAGCTTAGGGCTTAGGGCTTAGGGCTTAGGGCTTAGGGTTTAGGGTTTAATCACGTGACAGCTCTTTCAGCAGGATGATCATGTGAAGCAGCTGCCATTCAAGCATGTTGCGAAGCCCTTTCCACGCCGACGCGGAGTAAAGTCGGGCGGGGAGCATCGTTCTCTGCTGGATCTGGATGCAATTTACCTTGTAAACCTTGAGGCTTAGGGTTTAGGGTTTAGGGTTTAGGCTCTTCAGCTCCCTGAACCACTACCCTCTTTCATTGGGTTTCGGGGTTCAGGCTTACGGTTCCAGGTTTGAGCAGGCTAGTGTCCCACGGCTGGGCCCCCTAAACCCTAAACCCTAAACCCTAAACCCTAAACCCTAAACCCTAAACCCTAAACCCTAAACCCTAAGCCACATCAGCCTCTATGAGCTTGCCGATGATCGGGCAGGAACGTAGCATCCCGAGCCCTCCGTCGACACTCCAACAGTCTCTGCACAGAGGCGCAGAGACCGACGTCTCTCCAGCGGAATCAATTTTGGCTCAACTTGCTCGACTAGGTCCCTAAGCCCTAAGCCCTAAACCCGAAGCCCTAAGCCCTAAGCCCTAAGCCCTAAGCCCTAGGAAGACAAGGGGAAGCCTTTGCTTTCGGAGGGGCTTGTAGGGGAACCTCACTCCCCAGTCTGGGTTCCAGCCCCGAAAGGCACCAAAAAAGCGCCATTAGGGTTTAGGGTTTAGGGTTTAGGGTTTAGGGTTTAAGGTTTAGGGCTAGGGTTTAGGGTTTTGGGCCGTAGACAACAGAAGTGGCGAGTTGTGCTTATGGGGGCTTCTCAGGGTCTAACGGGGGGGGGAAGAGGGCTTCGACTGGGGGGAATCCCGACCACCGCGCCAGATTTGGGTCATGCACACCCTAAACCCTAAACCCTGAGGCTCAAGGTGTACAACCCATAACGTTTGCCTGTGCACCCTGTTCAAGGGGAGGGAGGGGCACGGGTCCAGGCGGATACTAAACGCCACTTTGTTCTCGTCTAGGCGTTTTGGGTTTGGGGTTGGGGTATAGGGCTTACGAAATTGACAGCCACTCTCGCACTTTAGCTCCGATGTAACCTGCTGCGAGCCCCTAAAACCCTGCATATCCGTGTCCTGCTGTTATGTCCCTCGATCCAAAGAAGGCTCAGCGCACTCTCATGGGCCATGCTTCTCTTTGCCTGGTGTTGCGAAGGGTTACGCGTGGGTGCCGCCAATTTGGGGTTGAAGCAGCTTAGACTCAGGGGAGGTGGAGGTGGGGGGGGAGGGGGGAGGCGGGGCGGACAGATCGGGTCAGGTGCTGCAAGACGTTGTAAGCATCTGATTTGGGTTCTCTGAGGCTCCTTGCGGGTGATCTCCCACCAAATAACGCAAAGAACCCCCAGACACCCAGACACCTCAAACCGCAACACCAAGGCTGTTGGCCTTCCAAATCCCCACTGAGAGTCCCGGCTTTGGTGGCGAGGAGTCTCCCCGTGGCCATGGCCATGAGAGTGAGGAGGAGACTCTCCATGGCCATGCTTGTGAGGGGAGTCGCCGTGGCCGTGCTGAGGAGTGTCTCCGTGGCCGTGCCCTGGAAAAGAGCACACACAGAGTCAATTTTGGGGCCCCTGGCCCTACCAAGGATGGCCCTGTAAAAACCCTCTGAAGAGGCGGTTTGGGGGTTTAGGGATACTCCCATATGTAAGAGATCCTCTTCAAGGATCAAGAACGACCCAACACCAAAACCCTGAACCTCTGTAACCTCTACAGGCTTAAGGGCCCCAGCCACCCTGCACAATGCCCACCTTGGATCATCCGCTCTTGCGCCTCAGCAACGTGGAAAAGGACACCACGGTGGCCCGAAAAGAAGGAAACCTGAACCCGGAAACCCGAAACCCTGGGACAGAGCAGCCCCAGAACGTCCCTAAACCCTAAACCCTAAACCCTAAACCCTAAACCCTAAACCCTAAACCCCGCTCCGACACCTTGGGATTATCCCATTCTCCACACTCATGCTAGTGGACACCAGCGCCTGAGCTCATGACCGAACCCTAAAGCACCCCTGAACTTCAGGTTTAGGGTTTAGGGTTTAGGGTTGAGGGTTGAGGGTTGAGGGTTTTGAGGGGTTTCCGAAATTAGGGGTACCTAACGGGGGGTCCTTTTTACAAGGGGATCCTACGATTGGGGGGTCACTCATAGGGGTCCCCTACTTCTGTAAACCCCCAAATTGAACCAGCCCTAAACCCTAAACCCCACACCCTAAACCACCCTAAGCCCTAAACCCTAAACCCCACACCCCCGAGCCCTAAGCCCCAAGCCCCAGGCCCTAAACCCAAAACCCTAAACCCTAAACCCTGTTCCCGAAGCAGCCAGACCTCCTTGACCATCGCCATCTGCGACCTTGGTCTGTTAGGCACAGGTCAGCACGCCGGTCTTTCGAGCTTCGCATGCCAGCTGAGGTTGAAGGTCTTACATCTCAGCTTCGGGTTCAGGGTTTGGGGTTTAGGGCCTAAGTTTAGGGTTTAGGGTTTAGGGTTTAGGGTTTAGGGTTTCGGGTTTCGGGTTTCGGGGTTTAGGGTTTCGGGTTGAGAAGATGGTCAGCAAGGTGTTTGAGGGTTCTGGGACAAAGGCTCCAGGAAGCTCAACGAGCATCCGGATGTTCCTGCAAGAATGGCAGGTCCGAGGACCACAGAAAGCCCCTTTCATCGACACAGCCTGCCTAGGCTGCCTGGTCTAAACCCTAAACCCTAAACCCTAAATCCTCAACCCTAAACCCTAAACCCTAAAACGAGGCTCAGGAACACGCAAGTCCCAGGCAAAGTTGGGCTTCTTCCACACAGTTGTTAGACTCACCTCCTCGCCAGAGAAGCCCGCAGAGTGACTCTCAAAAGTCCCCGACTTCGGAGTTCAATAACCCAGCACAGCCCTAAACCCTAAACCCTAAACCCTAAGCCCTAAACCCTAAACCCTAAACCCTAAACCCTAAACCCTAAACCCTAAACCCTAAACCCTAAACCGCAACACTCTGCAGTTGAAAGAGACTTCGGCCCACCCAAGGTCGGGGCGGATGGCCTTGCACCCGATAGTGAAGCACTTCACCCCTCTCCTCGAAAGCCTGGCGGGTTTAGGGTTTAGGGTTTAGGGTTTAGGGTTTAGGGTTTAGGGTTTAGGGTTTAGGGTTTAGGGTTTAGGGTTTAGGGTTTAGGGTTTAGGGTTTAGGGTTCAGGGCTTGGGGTTTAGGGTTTCGGGTTTGGAGTTTAGGGTTTGGGGCTTGGGGCTTGGGGTTGAGGATTGAGGGTTTGGGGTTTGGGGTTTCGGGTTTGGGATCAATAAGCCTTGGAATTTAGGATTTAGGCTTCGGCTGCTTGTGAGAGGGTTTCGGGCCCCTAAACCCTAAACCCCAAACCCACAAACCCAAAACCTTAGAATCCCAAGGAGAGTTTCCGAAACGAAGGGTCCCCCAGGCAAAAGTGGTAGAATCTCCCGAGGCCTCCTTTCACCCCACCCCCCACCCCCACCTTCAACTTCTGGGGGGGGAGAGGGGGGGTGGGGTTTTGGGTTTAGGGGTTTGGGGCGACCGGAGGTTTTGGGGGTTCTGGGGGGTTTGGGGTCGTAAACCCTAACCCAAACCCGACCCCAAACCCTAAACCCTGAACCCTGAACTCTGAACCCTATA